TATATATATATATATATATAAATTATATTTTTTTATAATCCAAGTCCAAGTCCAAGTCCGAGTCCAAGATAAAGATTTTGCAATGACAAGCATTTTCAAACTGCAAGTCTCTTACTCTCGTTACTATGGTGAGAACATTTTGCCCTTTGAGATTAACATACCTGGGTGTGAGTACAGTACGATTGCTCCACAGCCCTTTGAGACAATGCCTGTTGTGCATGTCATGACACTTCTTATTCATGACTCATTGTGCAGCTTTTCATAAACAACAACAGCTACGAAACAGGTTATGAAACATAAACAATCTTTTTTTAGCAGCACATCTTTTTGTAATTTGTAATGAGTTATCAGTGCTGTGAAATTATTAATTTGAGGGGAGTGTTGACTATCAAATTTATGTGAGTAATTACAGTATACTCGTAAGCCTTTTTTAATTCTGAATCCATGTTTAGAGCAGGATATTGAAACTGTAGTGATGCAGTTGTATGATTACTGTAATGTTTTAATATTTATGTTCTCCTGACCCTTTCTCAGGACCTGCACATGCTGAAAGAAATAGACGACACTCATTTCACTAGCTTAATTACATTTATTTACTGTCATCTGCCCTTTAAAACAAAGTAAAAGTAAAGGATTTGGTTTGACCTCACCAATGCAACTATTTTGTTATTGTTGGTGTTTTTGTTTTATAAAATAGTACATAATAAATATTTAGCATTTTGCATTTTTATGATCGTTGTAATAGCAATGTTCTTTGTGTTTTTCCTATACCACCTGTACACCTGTAGGTTTTGAAAGTTGAACTATGTTCTATTTTGCTATTGTTTCTATAGTGATTCTGTAAAAGTGAAAGTAAATGTAGGGCCGGATCCTGCTCGGGTTATATTTCTGTTTACCTGGAGTTTAGATGCATATACTCACGGATTTTGATTCTTCTGTATCTTGTTGGAGCCATCTTGCTTAGAAATATTTGGTAAGAATGAAAACATCTGTATCTCTCTTTATTTGTTTCTTATCACTTTTTAATTGTTTTGTAACTAAAAATAATCAACATTTCTGAAAAGGGGACATGCTTTGTAATGATTTGTACATTCATTTTGTGCATGCTGGTGCTATATAAAAGTAATTGTCTAAAATAATTTTTTAAAAAAATAATTTCTTTACTAATTAGTAGTTACACCACACTTCAAGCTTGTGATCTAGAAGCATTATAGTAAGATTTTTTCTCATTCACAAGTGTATACATGTTCAGTTGTCTTAAATACAACTGTCCATTTGTGAAAGAAAAGGGTTTGGTTTGACCCCACCAATGCAAATCTTATCAGACAGACAGACATTTGATGCCATATGATTGTATAGATCTTTGCCCTGTATTTCTAATGAGTGTTGTTCATATGCCATCTGTACACCTGTTGTTGAATTATGTGCTATTTTGTTTTACCATCTTAAAAATAAAAGTTTTCAAAGCAATGCCATAGAAGAACCGATGTTCCTCAAAGAACCTTGCAGTGCACAGTTCTTAAAATCACCATTTTACATTTCAATAATGTAAAGATCCTTTTGTAAAATGAAAAGGTTTCAGGCATATAAAAGTTTCTTCATGGAACCACAAATGCCGATAAAAAAAACAAACTTTATTTATAAGAGGGTACCTCTCACCCTAATTAACCTACTCTAAGAAAAACACAAAAGTTAAAATACTCTTAAATACTCTTAAGTATTTCTTATTACTTTTTTCAACTGAACATGGATGAAAAATACTGAGGACTTCTTGTAATGATTTCTACATTCATTGATGTGCATGTATAGGCCTACAACTTATTCTAACTGAATTTACAAAACGTACCATTTCAGTTGCCTACCACACTTCAAGCTTGTGATCTGAAAGCATAAAGGTAAGAATTTGCCTCTTTTGCAAGTACATGCATGTTTAGTTGTGTTAAATACAACAATTGAAAATGCCTTATAATCCAATCAAAGCATTTTTTATATGCCAGTGTCTTTTTTTTTCTTTCTTTTTTTTTTAAGATGTTGAATGAATCCTGTGGAATAACAGAGGAGGAGTTGAAAGAGCTTCAGGAAATAATATCTCATCAAGATATTCAGACAGCAAAAAACACAATAAAAGAATACCTCAAACAGCAAGATCGAGTTGAGCTAAACATTGGTGTGACTGGGGAGTCTGGTTCTGGAAAGTCCACATTTGTTAATGCTTTCAGGGGTTTAGGAGATGAAGACGAGGGCTCTGCCAAAATAGATGTAGTTGAGACCACAATAAAACCCGAGGTTTACCCTCACCCAAATTACGACAATGTGAAAGTGTGGGATCTTCCTGGCATTGGAACACAGAATTTCAAAGCTGATGAATATTCTAAACTGGTTCAGTTTGAACGCTATGATTTTTTCATCATCATTGCTGCAGATCGGTTCAGAGAATGCCACACTCAGCTGGTCGAAGAGATCAAGAAGATGGGGAAAAAGTTTTATTTTGTTCGTTCTCAGATTGATAATAGCATTCGGGCTGAAAAGAGGAAAAAAATCTTTGATGAGAAAAAGACATTGGATAAAATCCGAGAGGACTGTGAAAATGGTTAGTATTCAGTTCACATGACATAACAATGATTTGTATATGATTAATTGTGAATATATCTTTGGTCATGTTAAAACTCGTCAATATGCACAATTGCAGAATTAATTATAAGTACACTCTAAAAAATGCTGGGTTAAATTTAACCCAGCGCTGGGTTAAAAAGGGACAAACCCAGCTATTGGGTTGTTTTGACCCAGCGGTTGGGTTGTTTTGAACCCCAATAACCCATATATTATTATTATATAAGACTCGTAGTCTTGAGCGCAAATGGAGAAAATCTAACTTGGAAGTTCAAGACCAGATGAAACTTCTAAATTATCTAAGCTAACAGAGTGTGTTAAAAATGTAAAAGATTGGATGACCAATAATTTTCTCTTATTCAATTCGGATAAGACACAGATATTATTGGACCAATCTCTTTGATTACAATTTGCAACTAGACGGGTGTACTGTTACTTCCTCTACAGTCAAAAATCTGGGTGTTATATTAGATAGCAACTTGTCTTTTGAAAATCATATTTTCCATGTTACAAAAACAGCATTCTTCCATCTTAGGAACATTGTCAAGTTATGAAACATATTACCTGTTTCTGATGCAGAAAAGCTAGTTCATTCATTCATGACCTCTAGACTGGACTATTGTAATGCACTGCTAGGTGGTTGTCCTGCATCTTCAATAAACAAGCTACA